AATATACGATTTCGATAGGCTAACGCAACCAAAAATTGGCTAATGAAACTAATTAAAAATGCCATATTTAGCCAATCTTTTCTTTCGGTGTACGTGCAGATATGTTAAGATTAAAAGATGGAAAGTCTTTATCTATCATTTGTGACTTTATAACTGTAAAAAGAAAAAAAAGAAGAAAATTATAGATTGCCGTATCTATCACGTGTAAAATGATTTTATCGTGCATTACTAGGTTAGAATTTTCTACTAAGCTGTGCTGACACAGCGTAATTTCAGCAAACAAGCGCGTTTTTATTATTACTATTATCGATATATTATTTTGTCATTATGTTGTTTTGTTCTATTATTTGTATTTTGTATTATACAATCGCCAAGTTTCATTCTCAAGTTGAGCGATTCAGTATTAATACAATATACAATATATAATTAATCGCCGCAAAAATTATCATTTGGAATATTGTATTAGGTCATTTAAAAAGTATCCGCGGTTTTTTGTTCAATTTTTGAATGAAAAAACAGCGGATACTTTTTAAATGACCCAATATATTTTAGCAAAATCATAGAAAGAGAAAGAGAGAGAGAGAGAGAGAGAGAGAGAGAAAATTCATATAACAATGTTGCGAATTCCAATTGAAAACAGTAAAGAGGTAATAATCGACCAATTGTTCTTGACTACTTGACAGTCAGTTGTACCATACAATTTGTTAATGACAAGAGACCCTCGAGATGAAGTATCCACGGCTTACCGACAAGTGCTACCGAACGAAGCCCACTACGAGTGCACTTGATAAAGTAACATCGTTTCCCTCACTATCTGTATTTATTTATGCAGTGGTTCACACAGATAAGCCAATCCTCGCGTAACGTAATATTAATAACTGTAATTATTGCGGCAGGTACCATTTCGCGTAAGAAAATCGCGTTAAGCGTTTTATCATAAAAATCAATGACATTAGATGATGAAAACTACTATTTGTGGGAAAATTATTTAATGCGATCCACGATGGTGCAATTTAATCGCAGGATGTTGAATATCGTCGTCGTGTGTGTAATTTTTTTGTTAAATTTTCAGAACGCCACGTGACATCGTTTATCTATCCATCCAGCACATCTATAACATATGGGTCTAATCTCCGCTTATCGCGGTTAAAGCGATAAGAGTAAGTTGTTGCGTCGCAAAAATGGACGCGCTCGCGGACGCGGTATCTCTAATAATTTTATGAAAAGGTGGGATAAAGAAATTGCGAGCGTCGTAATGTGTAAAAGATTGATATAATTTTGAGCAACACAAAAATTTATGACTTGAAAGATAAGGGGGTTATAACGAGCAATCAATCATTTTGCTTGCTATTGATTTTGATTATTTTTATCATCGATTGTGTATTGACGATGCGTATTGTGAGTCTTAGTTTATATAATAATGCAATAATCGTTAAATAATTAGCAAAAAGCATATTTATACGGTTAAATAATTTATTATCGTAAGATCAACAGTCTACATTTATAATAACAATATTAATAATAACAATATAAAATAATCTTTGTTAAATATACATTCATAAAAAGGAAGATAGTATACTATTCATTTCAATATCTTAAGTAGAAATTATAAAACTATACGTTACATCATCGTGCCGATTTTTGTGCATTTTGATGATGGGAATTAAACTAATTAAAATTAGACACAAACAAATGATAGGATTTATAACAAAAAATAATCAAAATTACAGATACAAACAATGAGTATCTGTAATAATACTTATTCCATGATCATCATTGACTGAGAAATGTGATCGTTTCGAAAGAGGAATATATACTGAAAAAAAAGATTGGCTACTGCAGCAATTGAGTTGATAAAATACGGCATAGCATTGTTAATTGACTGCTGCAGCCAATTAAAAATGCTATATCATATTCAGCCAATCTTTTCTTTCAGTGTATACGTTAAATATTTTTATTATATTGCTAAAAAAAATAACACACATAATTATAACTTAAATAAAATGCTAAATTGAAAAAGTTAGACGACAGTGCTTTAACTAGTGTATGAAACTATGACATTTTTGTTTCGCTTTGAGAAATAGACTTAGAAAGTGTTGACTTACGAAGCGTTTTGTCACATTTATCTCAACGTATAATCTTTTTTTAAGTATAAAGAAAAAGTTTAAAATTTACGTTAAACAAATATGCGTGTCAATAAAAAAGAACTTATGCTGATTTCTTATTATAACATTTATTTGATAAATAAGCGAATATATCTAAAAAGAGAATCAATTCAACGGTGTTTTGGAAATAACACGCACAACTTTATATATTTTCGCACGTGCTACGTTTTGCACTATCGCGTTGTATAAAAATAACATTCAATTTATGATCGCAATTATGTAATTGTCAAGAGAGATACGATGTTTTGTTCAAATACACTGAAAGAAATAATTGGCTGCTGCAGTAATTTAGATAAAATATAGCACAGCATTTTTGATTGGCAATGTCAATATATGATTTCGATAGGCTAACGCAACTGAAAATTGATTGCTGTAATCAATCAAAAATGATATGCCATATTTTACCATTTAAATTACTGTACCAACTAATTTTTTCTTTCAATGTATGATAATGCTTCCGTACTTTAAACGTGCTGCGATTTAAATACAGTTACATCCACTTGTCTACAAAGTCCGTAATTTTGTAAAGCTTATCACTCAATCAGATTTAAAGAAAAAATCAAAATACATATATATTTCGGAAATACGAATAAAACGTAAACATTATTACTTTTTCCTCTCACATCGTGTAGACTATAATTATTATAGAGAACATTATTATAGAGAATGATTGAGCTCGAGTGAACGCGCGGTAATGACGATGTATTTTGAATCAGTTATACTTTGGACAATTACAGTTCAGATGTTTAACGAAATATCTGCAAGCATCTTAATTCGTTAAATAATTTTTAAGAGTAATTGACGAGCGACTGCGATGATTCGAAGATCTATACAAACTCGACTTCCAGATAAACGTTTTGATTATCTGATATCTCTTTGTTATATCTTGACGACGAACAGTTATCTATTATTCGAAATCATGTTTAATCTTCAACAATTGCGTAACTGTCAATGACGTTTGATATGCGATATTGTATATCGCGTAGTGATTTCTTGTCTCGAAGGAAAGCTTTCGTTCTTTTCTTTCCTCTTCTCTCTTTCTCTATCTTCTCTTTTTTGTTTTGCTTTTGTTAATCTATTATTTCTTGCTATTTTTTCTTGCGATGACTCGTGTGCTTTGTGACTTTTACTCATGTTTGTACTGTGCTTGTCCACTATTGTGTCGTTGTTAGTTTGCTTGGATTCCGAGTTTGTTAAAAAAAATATGTTGATTCTTTGAAGTAAGTAGACTTTGAAATAAGTAGATTCATAATTAACCCCTGGCTATACACATTGAGGTCCCAAAAACTCCAATACAATTTGCTAAATCGAGATTTTTTTCGTGTTTCTGAACGTTTTTTCTCCTTTAAACCTATATATCTCGAAGTTCCTTAATTCTATTAACTATTTTACATTATGGACTTGTTTCTTAATCAATTCTCCATCAATTAAAAAAAAATTAATTGAAATATGTTCATTTCTACGGAAATTACGATACAAATATAGATCCGATGGAGTTTCAGAGACCCGAGTATGTATATTAAGGGTAGAAAAAAAGTGTGTATAGAGGATTAATAAATTTACAATAAATTTGATAATACAGTTGTGAATCAATTTATAAAAAAGTGCGTAATTAGAATGTTATACCTGAAATCATTGATGCCGAGAATAGCCATTGATAAACTCTTTTATCTTTAATATTTTTCTTGAGACATTCTAAATGATTAATAATTTAAATATAATTAATAATTTGAATATAACTTCATTTATTTAATATATTATATTAAATAAATAAAGTTATATCGTGATTATATGCGATATTCGTTGCCACAATGATAGTTTTTCTTCGATTTACTACAAAGCTCATTGATGTCATTACATATAAAAATAGCTTTTACTAAATAATATATCGAATATTACGCGCGAACGCAGAAAATACGCGTATTACTTTAGCAAAGTGTTATTTAATAATAATTGGATTATTTCAAATGTATTCAATTTTGTATAGGAATATCATAAAAAAAAAAATTTTGTTTATTGATTTTTATTTATGGACATATCATATTTTACTTGTTTAACATAATGAAACATCACAAAAAGAATCTAAAATGTATTAAATGAACGTATTGAGACTGATAAATTCGATTTGTGTCCAATTAAGTGGATAACAAAATCATGAGATTTAATTCTAATGAATTACTTCTTCTAGAAATATTTTAAATAATTACCAATATTTTAAATGATTAAACGCAAACAATACAATATAAAGAGAAGTACAATTCCTTTCATGGAAGGATTAGCAATAATTATAAATAATTAGAAAGTCCAGTTGTATCAAAACGTGCACTAAATACTATTGCGACATGTTTCCAAAATTATAATTATAATGTTTCTGTTGGTGCTAACGATATATGCACATTTTATCCAAAATTCTAAGTATTAAATCGGTCGTGCAATTCTAATCAATTCCATTTATTTGCAGTTATTTAAATTTCTCTCTAAGTAATTTGCAGAAAACAATTGATTAGATAAACACAACCAATGTACAAATAATATTTTTTCACATGAGCATTTCAAATGGTGCCGGAAAATAATATTTCAAAAATCATATTTACAAAACGTATTAATGTTTACAAAATCGTTGATTTACAAAATCGTATTAACTTTCAATACAAACAATTTAAGTTCTGTTGTACTTTACTGATTGTTACTGTTGAGGAAACGAATAAAATAATTTAAATACAATAATTTAAATAATAATAAATAACCACATTTTTTAAAATGATAACTCTTAATATGTCAAAACTTAATATATAATTATACATTAAATATAAAATAGAATTATTTATCGCGTATAATATATATAAAACACACGTGTATCATAAATATAAGAGTGATTATCTATCTGTGGCCAGACTATCGAACTGAAACTCGATTCAAACCTCGATTGTTTTTTTGCCAAGTCGCGTAACAATAATGTTTACCGAAATGCTTGCGGCTTGAGGTTCGAGTTGCAGCTCGATATAATCTGGACGCACCCTAATAATACAAACAAGCAGTAAAACAAGCAGTCTCGTAGATTGTAGATGTCTATTCCATATGATTTTTATGATTTAATCGTCAATAATAATCACTCACACATTAATTAAAATTATTAAGTAACAATCCATCAATGCAAAATTTAACTTATTATATGTGTTTAAATGAAGGAATAGCTCAATTAAATGTTACTTGAAAGCAATGTAACGAAAGCGAATTCACATGCGGTGAAGACACAAGCGCAGGAATAATATTAGGTAGAGAAAAGCCAGCTCTGGAGCCAGCTCTAGTCGAGAGATCGTAGATGCAGACGCGTGGAGAATCACTTAGGTTTGGCGATCGACACCGATTTCCGGTCCTTTGGTGTCATTATCCGAATCAGAGCTGACTGGCGAATAGAAGCTAGGATTGTCTTCTTGACTAGATCTGTCGGATGTACAACACTCTAACGAATCGATATGCTGCAAAGTCGCGAAGTGCTCTTCTACCTTATCGCAGCTCTCCTTGGCCGACGATCTCTAAATAAGTTGAACAAGCTCATTGAACATTTACACATTATGAAGAATTCCATTCCTAAAGTGTCATCAATGTTCTTTCGATCTCGTTTCGCTCATACCGCGCGAAAAATTGTGTAAAGCGAATTTCGTACACGGTATAAAATTTTGCTGTTTGTATTTCATTCTGTTTGACGGAATAGCTAAAAAATACAGTGCGGCAGAATTTATTAAAGAAATGCAAAGATATTGTGCGTCTACTTCGCTTGAGTATGCGCTTTTTCTCTTTTATAGTTTATAATGTAATCCTGAGTAAACACGAGGTAGCCATGTATCGAGGGATTTCTTTTATTCCTCATCCTTCGATCATAAAGACAATCCAAAAGATTATTATTCGAAGGTGTTTACCTTTTCGCAAGTCGACTCGACGAGTTTCTGGTTAGAAGCCAACGTGAAAGTTCGCTCGTCATTCACAAAGTGCTCGATGATCTTTTCATTGAACTTGTCTTTGATGTCATAAATCTCATTCGAAGACACGTTGCTGTTCTCATCGTTGCTGTTCTCATCGTTGCTGCTCATATCGCTCGTCAAATATTCTGGCTAAAAAGACGATAGCAAAAACGTAGCCAGATAAATCTTTCCTATATATGTGCAGTAAAAGCACATATATGTACAACATTAAAAATATAAATAAAACAAGCAGCGTATAGCGTCAAAGTTACGGGCTATCTATTGAAGAATCAAGTCATCGAGTTTTTTTCGAATCCGTAAATTGACTGTGAACGGGAAGCCGGGATTATGAATTTGACAATATCGAATTCGAATCCAAAATGATAAAATGAATATTAAACAAAAATATAGAACTTACCTTAAAATCTTCATCGTCCTCGCTATTTTCCAAAGCGAGTCGATTAATCTTCTCAATCAGAGTTTCTTCCGTCTCTTCTTTTTCCTTCTCCTCCTCCTTCTCCTCCTCCTTCTCCTCCTCTTTCTCCTCCTCCTTCTTGTCCTCCGATTCGCTCATTGAATGTTTTGATGGTGTCGTAGAATCGATTGATTCTACTATTGACTTTTCTTCCGACCTTTCTTTCGGCTTTTCTTCCAACTTTTCTTTGGATGTCGTTACCTTAAAAGAATTTTTTGTTGTTTTATTGAATATTTTATTATATATTTTAATATAGCAAGAATAATTCTTAAAACAATAAAGTAGTCACGAACACATTTCATTTTACATTTACGATAATAGCTGCTTTTCATTTACACACAAATGAAACTGAGTCTAAAGTGAGTATTTCATATTCAGATTAATGACGTCATTATTTGCTTTGGTAAAAAGTTATTACATGACAATACGGGTTCATAATTTTACTTTTAAGGTGAAGACGAGACTCACTAAAGCACACGGTCTCGATCTTGTGCAGATTATAGGCAAAAACTCAGTTGTATCTCGTTTGTCAGAGTGTAAAAAGAATGCTTATTCAACTGAGTTATAACAAGTAAGAATTATGTAAATGGAAAGCAACTCAGACTCCGTTAAAAGATATCAATTTTTAGAATAAATAGTTAAAAATTCTAAATTTCTTGGAGAGAAATCTCATTCCAAAAGAGTGAAAATATTGCCACTATTGAAAAAGAGTGAAAATATTTACACTATTGAATAGGAATGGCAAATTTTTACTCTTTTAGAATGATTTACTCCGAAGAAAAGAATTCTCACTTCTTTTTTGGAGTGAATCTCCAAAGTATGAAATCTCATTTAATAGTGGCAGTATTTTAACTCTTCTGGAGTGAGATAATTTCATTTCAAATTCAGAGAGAAACATTTATAAAAGATATGTCACTAAAAAACACTTGAATGAAATACTCGGAGAAAGGATGGGTCATAATATCTTCAAGTAATTGTACAATTACATGTGATTTACGCTTGCATAAATTAAGATAGTTTTATTTACTGGATCGGAATCGAGGTTACTACTAATATAAATTTTAGGCAATGGTGATGGAGAGGGTTTGGATGTATTCAAGTAGGATAAGCTTGACAAAGTCAGACAAATGGACCTGATCAGGGCCTTCTTCATTGACGATCTCTTGTTTTACACCTACCACCGAGACTATTACCGTATTAATTTTATTATCTTTGCATTCGCTGCGTTTCACTAGCAAAAAATGTACATCTTACCTTGAGCTTACACTTCTCTTTTTTATCTTTCTTCATTGCATCATGCAGATATCTCCGATATTTTTGCACGAATTTTATCTGCGACAAAAGTGTTTAATAAATAATAAGTTGAATAATAAAGAAAAAATAATTGAACGCGAATGAAATAAAACAGACGATGTTAAATAATTTTTTACAAAAATATTCATCTTATAACGGAAAAATCAATTATAAAGTTTGGACTTATAAGTGTTTAATTTTACAGTATTAAAATGTTTTACTCTTGTCTTAATTTTTTAATCCTTAAAAGATGTTTGAGTTATTAAATTTTTTTTAATAAACAAAACACTATGTGTTTGGATTTAAAACATTTTAAACGTTTAAAATTGAAATATCTTTTATTAAACATTTGTTTCGCAAAGATGTTTTAATTCGTAAACATTTTAAATACTGTATTTTTACAATGTTTTTGTTGATTATTTCTTTTTGAAATACTTTTTATTAACCCTTACTGAACAAGGTCGGGTCACTAGTGACGATCGAGTGATTCTTGTTCGTGTAAGTTTCTATGAATCTTTCGATAATTATAAATTATATTACATTTTATTTTTTAAAACGAAGTTTCAATATTTATTTTAGAAAGTTGAAAATATGTTGATGAATTTAGAGATTTTTTGAACCGTTTTGAAACGATGGATTTTAGTGATCCATATTTGGATGAATGAAGCATCAAATTTTACCTTGTATTATAAGGATTAAGCAATATTAATATTAAAACTGTGAAGATAACATACCATTTCACTTAACTTGATTTTAGGATTTTTGGATATGAAAGCATCTATATTAACTATCATTCTGATTAAACTTAACATCATTAAGCACGGCAAGAATAAGAACCAAGGCAATGGTTTCACAAGTTTCATTTTTCCCGATTCTTTTTCATCTGAAATATAAATTCAATTCAGTCGTCGAGAAAAATGCATATTTTTCATCGTTTATCGTTAAAATGATGAAAAAATATAATTGATTCGCACCTTCGATATTCTGTTCAGGTAGACTCCATTCCATACACTTCTCTACGAGCGACAGAAAATAATCCGTATATTCTAGTATTATCTGACGTAATTTGCTTTGTAACATGATTGCAACAATCTCAATTCTATTCAAGTACAATTCTCTTGCGGCGTCTCGTTGACTGTCTATAAACGACACGAGCGAACAATAATTTACTCGATCAATCGCACGTTTATTCGGATATATTTTTTAACAAATATAATTTTGATATGCTTACTTTGTTTGATGAACTTGCCGTATCGGAAGTAAATCAATGCTTAGAAAGACTTCTTTCTTCCTTCTTATTATTGGCTCTGCAACCTGACTGATTGGTGCTGGACCACTGGATGATTTTCGAAATTGAATAAATCGTAAAATCTCAGAATGCAATGCATCGGCCACCTCGAACCTCGAATCGGGCAAATGTAACAAAAGGATGATCAGGATGATACAATCAAAATAGAAATGGCGATTTGGCGAAGCGCCTTCAGACACTGCAATTACGACACTTCCGCATCGCACGAACGCATGTTCAGATGAATGAAGAGACTATAGGTGCGTTTGAGGAGACGCTATTAGCGCTATTTGTGTCTCTCATTCTATCTTTGTTTTACGCCTAATAAACAACGAAGATAGAATGATCTCCCCGAATGCATCATATAAGTGTGTAATGTGTAATGCAATTGCACAATCGAAACCGGCAAGAAAGACATTTGAATTCGCATTTGAATAAATGGTTTGTTCACTTTAGGGCTCTTACAGACGAACGACTGTGAGGATCAACGCGATGCTACAAATGCTTTACAGCAATTTTTGACTGATCAATTTGTAAAATTCTTTTTTCTAATTGGTCAATTAAACGCTTTACAGCATTTGTAGCGAAATTCGCGACACTTTTCTCCGTAACTCCGTATGAACGGATTTCGGCGCTTTCGATTGTGGCGCTACAAAGTCGCTCGTCTGTAGGAACCCTTAATTATTAATTTAATTTTAAGGCGAGAGTAAGATTACAACATCGGATCTCTTTAAAAAAGAAATATCAGAAATTACAATTGTTGGAGCAACAAAAAAACAGAATAATATGTAAAATAAGTCGATCATTATTTCCAGAAAAGGTTTTTTTTTTATTATAAATGAATTTTTCTTTTGGTGAAAATTTTGCGGAAAACATAAAAGTATATTTATTCAGAGATTGTTGATAATAGATTGATGTAATAACTTTTAATATTATAGATCGTTTATTTTTATCATCTAAGCAAATATTTAATATAGATTCAATAAAGATCTGTATATAAAATGTGAATGCTTGCGTACTCGAATAATGTTTATATACGGAGACAATCTGTTGATAGTTCGCGATCAGAAATGCATGAATAAAAATTTCCTCCGTTAAATCTTAATGATTTAAGTTAAATAATGATCCTAATGACTCAGAAATGCAAAATAGACAATGAAGAAAGCGATGATGATAAATTATTATTGGGAAAAGGCACGAGTTCAGTTTATCAGAGTGGGACGCCGAAAGAAACGTATTTTCGTGGTAAAACACAATATATGTATATAATCACAAACGATTTTAACATTTCACTGAAAAATATCTAAAAATTTTACGGATTTTATCACACGGCATTGATCTACGCGTGCAATTTCTGTTCAAGCAGTTACATTCAACATGTTGTATCGACAATTTGTATATATCCAGAAATTCTTATAATTTCCAAAAAATTATAAGATATAGTTATAAGATTATATTAGATTATAACAAAATCAATTTTTTATTTTCAAATATATTGCAAAGAAAATAAACTTAAAAATAATTAAGTTGAAATTTAAATTAAATGTTTCCAACTTTAATAATTATATAGCTTAATAATATAGTCAGATAAAGATTTTTATTTATCTGCATGTATTGATTTGTTTATAGAAATGCGATAAAATTTTTTGCAAACTTATAGACGAAGATAATCTTTGCTAAGTATTCACAATGGAATTTAATTTAGCTCAATTTTTACGAGATTGAACATCTACAATTTTAAAAATCCCGTCAGAAAAGTGCTGCATGCACGATACATGATATATAGATAAAAAATTACTAAGTTATCAAAGAAAATTTTCCATATAAAATTTTGTGATTTATCAGATAATGACAATTTAATGTAGTTTTCCTCTCGCATGTCAAATAAATGTTAAATGGATTCATCGCGGTATTAATAGAATTATTATATAATAATTTGTCACGAAAAATGGTAAAAGCATTTAGGAAGTTATGTGTGCGTTAAAACAAGCATATTGATGTATTTAATTACGTAATTTCAATTTGTTCTGAATTCTGGTATTGAAATCTTTATAATATAAAATTTATATTGTGTGGATTGACTAATGGATATAAAATAATTAAATGGATTTATTAATGGATATATAATAATTTAATTGATTGACCGATAATTAGATTTTTAAATCAATTAATGTGATGTAACATAATTTCAACTTTAGAATACTTTAGATTAGCAAAGTGTCAATATTATTAATAGGCACAATTAGTGCCTAAAGTTTTTCGAAGCTATTCGTTCTAATTTTTAATGTTGAGAGATTAGAGAGCAAAATTTAAAAATTAGAAACATATCATTAGTAATATAACATTTTGTACAGTGTGCATAAAATTTTCTTTGATTATATTCTTTTTAATTTAAAATTTAAACAGAAGAATGATCGAATAATATCTTAAGCAACAATAAGTTTACATTACATGCCGAGAGATAACCAAGATTGTCTGTGTGCTCTAATAAAAATCTAATTCTATCACTAGTGTTTTACTAACTCGTAGTTAATCATTTTATCGTAATGTTTGTCTCTTTCGGTATTTATCGTGTTTTCGTTTGATTTGTGTAGCAGTCTTCTTGACCGTCAAACTTTGTATTGCTTATATCGACAACATAATATGACAGAAAAAGATGATTTTTTTTCCGTTCAGTATATAAGGGAGCGTGTCCGCATATACGTGTGAGTAATTAGAGAGAATGTGAAGCCATGTTATTTCAACAGAGGACAAAGCTATCTCGATTGCCATAAATTATGTATAACAGCATAAAATCGGTTATTATTCTTCGAAATATATCTTACAAATAGCGTATTTTTAAAAGAAAAAATTATGCAAAAATTATTCGACAATAAATTATTTATAAACATCTTCTAAGGCATTCTCTTATTGTATTAAAGATTAATATTTGATCATTAATTGATAACAGTGACGAATTTTCTTGCAAACGCAACAATTAAGAGAGAGACAAATAGTAAAAATAAAAATTAATCGTATAGGTACAAATCATTTATTTCTTCTCCGTTGATAAATTGACTGACTCGATGGAATTCGTTTTATTTGTTAAAATCTAACCGTTGAATTTACCACATAATTCAGTCGAATGTTTATAATGTTTGGGTCAGAAAGAACAGATTTTGAAATAGCATCACACACTGGTCAATACATAAATCTCCAGTTGATTTCAATATTAATCAAATCATGGAAAATCTTAATTAAATAATCGATTTCTTTCAATTATATAAAAATTGATACATATAATCTTTCTTAATACATTGCATAACAATATGTTTGAAGCACAGAATAATAGAGAACTTTTCCAGTTATTGATAAGTTTCTTCAAGGGATACAAAACATGATTTTTGCAATCTGTCTATAAATTTTAATTCTAATTACCTCTTATTGCAAATACAAAGACTGGATAGAGAACTATTGTTGCTACCACTGCTAATTGTGATCTTTGTTGCAATCACGTGCTGTAATGTCTTAGAAACGATGTTCTGTGAGATTGTTGTGGAAGCTGTACTTCTGATGTATACTCAAACACGCGCGAACGAGCCGACACTTTCGTGACTGTGAGATGTTGAGTGCGAACTGGGAAAGCAGAAGTTTCACGGACAGTAACATAACAACAATTAAGAGCATGTAAGCGGCGCTTTACATATAAGAGCCCATGATTTTTGAAATCTAGACTCCAGAGAAAAGAATCAAGCTTGTAACATGATACATCTCTTCGCCAGATTGCACGTGAACTAATTAGTAAAAATGCACCACGAAACACACATTTCTAGCAAAACAGTACGAAGAAATGCATCTGCCGCAGCTAGAAAAAGAAAATGAGACTTCATCTTAAATCTACTGACAGAAGAATATCATAAATTTTTCATCTGATCAATTCGGAAAAATTATTCAGTTAAAATATATTCGTACTTATTATTAGCAATATTAAAAAATTTTTCAAGTACTGTTCGTGGATCTTTGAAGCACATCTTCATGAATTTTTTTTCCTTGGCTAATTACGAGATTTACAATCACATTGTTTATCACTATTAACATATATACTTTATACCTCTAATATACATCTTGCAATAATACATGAAAAAAATTATGCCCCATTTATTACATCATGTGTCTACATCAAAATTAATTTTTTACAACGGATAATTTATCTGATAGACAGCTTTGTTTCTTATAAGGTTCTAATTCTACTAGATAATTACACGATGCAATTTAGTATTATTCAAGGCTTTTCTCTCTTTCTTTCTCGTATGACCTTCTCTCGCGAATTTCAATTAAAAAATTACAATTGCATATTTCACTGAGTATCAAATATATCGAAATATTCGAATACATTCGAGGATTCGAAAACAATCGAGTCGATTTTATTAAACGTTTATTATATCGGCATTAAAATTTTAAATTTTGAAGCACATATGCAGAATGATGAACAGCTAGAGCGCAAGCTAAATTGTATTCTTCTTTGCTGGAACTTAGTAAAGATTACGTAGCACGTAATGCAAATTACATTCTAGACAATTATGTCACGATAATCGACGCTTCTCGCTTAAATTAATTCGATTATGACGCATCTACAATCAATGTTGATCTCGAAACGATATAATATTGAAAGCACACACACATGTCAAAAACACGTAAGCGTTCGCAAAACGTCTACATGCCGTAACTCTTTCGCTCGTTGTCCCTCTCATTCCTCTGCTCTCGGAACGTATAGATTTTACAAACTCTTTTTTTTTTACGAAAATGAGATATAGCAGTGTCATAATTGACAGTGCCTGTACGATATAATTATATATAAAAAAAAAAAAAAAAAAACATTTCGCGTTTATTCGTGCGATTCTGAGTATTATACCGGAATCTCAAATTCACCGCGTTTTAAGGCCATTCTTATATCTCGAGAGACTGTCATGGAGATGCAAACATGATCGGTTCTTTTTTAAAATCGATTTGTACGGGATAAACATTAATAGATGAATCTTTCAATATCAGTTCTAACTTTAAGTTTCTCATATCTTTGTAAGTCAGTAATCGCATAAGCGTACCATTTTGTCTCGCAACCTTCACGAAGCGCACACTGTTTAATTTATTGAAATCAAAATATCTGGACTACATACGCGTGATGTTTATGTTTTTACAAATATGTTATGCAGTAGTTTCTATGTTGGTAAGACGCAGATAGAATATCAAAGCGGAATTGAATTTTTAATTATTAATATTATGTATATCCAAATTATTTTGCTGACGATGAAAATCTAGTGTTTCACATGAAACTATTGAATGCATCAGCCATATTGCACATAGAAAATGAATGGAACAAATTGAGCAGTTTTTGTTTGAACTCCTCAATAGATCTAATATTTTAGATGACTATAAATAGATTTCAAAAGACAAAATTATTGACGGGGGCTTCGTGATTCATTATCGATCAAACTTAATACAATTACAAACAAAACACTCACGCATTAAAAAAATGTGTAGTTAACGTAAGTCGCTACGTAACAGTACGGATGCAGATAACATTAATAGGCATCGGTATCCACATAAATTTTTGAGGCAATTCAAGAGCCATTGATCTTCGGAACTCTACCATTTTAACGCTATAAGGAATTGCAATAATTTGTGATAGAGATTACTAGTTGATTTTTTTTTCTAATTTTCTCCATTTCTTTCCCTCTTTTAGTAACGGCCAATAAAGAACAAGTTATTCAAGTGCACTACTCAACTTAAATCTATTCTAATGTTGTGCGAATCTTAATGATTTCAGTGAACTTTATTAACAAAATGTATGCACAATCCGCGCAAAAACGGTTGAATTTGCTCATGTAAAATAGCTTATGTAATAATTATGCAAGGGGTAATGATACTGGCTCACAGACATGATAAACTGAAACGCACTTGGATAATTTGCTGTTGTTCATTTCGATTACATCCGTAAATAAAAAAGGTTAATATTCCTCCTCGTCGTCAGGCGCAAGTCCGTCACCTTCCAATTCCTCAGGTGGTGCAAAACCATCCTGAAAAAAGACGAATAGAAATTAAAGCATTTATTCAAGGGAATTTTTAGAATTGCAGAATTATTATAAATGTAAATTACCTCTGTTGCATAAAGGACTTCTAAAATTTTCTGTACAATAGGTGGAGGATCGCCGCCGTTGTCACAGTCTTGGCACATGACTTCTATGTCACGTAATTTTCCAAAATAGAAATCTCTCTCCTTTTCCAGACCTTCGACTGACATTTTAAGTTCAACCAACTAAAATATTTCAATATTAAGAATCTTTAGTTTAGACTGCATATGTGAGAACACAATCAATATTAAAAATCAAATGCTTACAACGGTCGAAACTGGATCTTTAATGCTTAAATAATTCAATGTGAATTTTATATATTATATATATATATGCATGCATATATATATATATATACATATGTAATAAATATACATTCACATTGAATTATTTAAACATTAAAGATCTAACTTTGACCGTTATAGACATTTAATTTTTAGTAAGATATTTCATTAATTTTTGTTGAAAGATACATAAAAAATATTTAAATCTATTGAAAAAAATATTATGTTATATGATACCTGCGCACTAAGTTCCTCAATTTTTCCGTTATCGCCACGATTGCCAACTGTGTTTTTGGGAGGCGCACGGTACGGCTGTTGAACTTTATTTACTAGATAAAGAATAAAAATATATTACTTCAAAATAGTATCTCTTAAAATCATAAGTAAGTATTTATACTTCTGTAACATAAATTAGAATATTTTTTTGTGATTTATTTAAAAATTAAGAAAGCTACTTAAATATATAAAAATATACATGCTTTTTGTGCAAGCAAAACAAGGCATGCAGAAATACAGTTCAAAATCATGCACGATGTGTATTTTACAATCATAATAAATAAATAAATTTTACAGAAATATATATATACGTATATAGAAATAAAATCTTTATATCTTATTTATAATAAAAGAAAATTGCAAGGCAAGTACTAAGAAATGTGATTCACTCTTATTAACTTGTATAATAATATAGTGTAAATTTGATAGTGACAATCATTATAGAGTAGTAATGATATAGACGATTATCATAAATTAGTGGAAATTATAGTACTTGTATCAAAGTGAGGAAACAATATATTGTGATTATACATCTCATTCTTAGTTATGTGTCACTTTTCAAATTTTCCTGTGTCTTAATAATCATTTTTTTCATAAATTGCAATAATCAATATTAATTAAAACTCATTCAAATATTTTAATCAATGAATACAAAAACTACACACACATAATTTACTCTATACTTTCCTCATATACCTCAGTATTAAAACATGTACGGAGCTAGAGAAGCAAAATACAAGTAACGAGAGTAAAAACAAAAAGAGATATTAAATTTCACCTAAAGAGTTTGTACTATCTGCACGCATGGTAGATGGATGTCCCTCACCTAAAGGCAAATTTTATTTCAAGTTATTGAGGGGATATTATATAATAATCCATAATTGAAACTCCTGTTGAAATATTTAACAAGGAGAAGTATGTCAATTGATATCACGAATCCCTTATTATAAGATTACAAGATAGATTTGTGAGATCGTTTAATCCCCTTACAGACTTTGTATTTATTCTGTAATATTTACCTTGCCTGCTATATAAGGTCAATCCGATTTTCATGTATCAAAGGCTAATCAAGCAATCAAGTCAATATCAATTATTGATTAGTACAAAATCTGTGTTAACGTACAAGTTTCAAATTGTATTTATAAAAAAAACCTATTCTCTCTTCATATTATAAGATTCCATTCTTTTTAATGATGTTAAAATTCAAATTTTTTTGCATCAAAGAGTAAAGTTATTAAATGATGTACCAGTAGTACGAGGAGCCGGTTTAGTCGAACTTATTGTGTCACGTGGAGAAGTACGTTTCGCGTTAGAACCACCACGAGGTGCATTATTTCCGCCACTACCCATAGGCTCTCCTCCTCGCATAGCAAGCGCATCATACGGCTCTGCTCCCGAGTAGTTTGCATCAAAGAATTTCTTGAACCATTGCAAAAACTCAAAGTTGTCTTGGAACCTGCCTTTCACCAGCCTATCAATTGGCACAATCTGCAAAGGAGGAGTGGAAGACGTGTGCAACAAAAGAAAATAAAACAAAATTAAATATACACGAATCTCTAATAAACACGGTTCTATATTAAAATCAATCGATTTTAATATTAGAAAATAATTCCCTTACGACATTATTTAAAATAAACACTCCTGGAACTCTTCTTATCGCTCTGTACAAAATCAGGATAAAATGAAACAGTCTAATCTATGTATACATCTATGTATCTATATATTATACATAAGCTAGTACTTATAATCGATTCTTATATTAAAGACTGTCTTAAGTACAGTCTCCAGATATCATGAACCAATCAGAGGCCGTATTAGTGTCTTAAGACATTACTTAAGACGGTCTTGTGATAAATGGAGTATGAATACTAGCCATAATTATACATGGTGAATCATAATAACTATACCAACATTTTATCATGGGAGATAAATTACCAACTGCAACTGGAAACAGAAAGTATTCTCCCATGATAAAACGTTGGTATAACGATTAAAATTCACCTTGTATGTATGTATGTATGTATGTGTGTGTATGTATGTATGTATGTGTGTGTATGTATGTATGTATGTTATATACCATTTTGCAATAGTTAACAAGATAAAGATATGTATATATATATATATATATTAGTAATTAATATCTTTATCTTGTTAACTATTGCAAAAATTGCAAAATGGTAGAGGACTTTTCGACTCGGTTCGAAATATATTTCGTCACCCATCATGAGCAGGTAGAGTGAATCAAACAGAGTCGAAAAGTCCTCTACCATTTTGCAACTTTCGCAATAGTTAACAAGATAAAGATATTAATTACTAAAAATTGCCAAATATTGGTCTTGAATAATTTTTTGCTCAAGTACTATTAACTTTATAGAAAAACTGCAAGAGACAAAAATTATTTATTTTCTTCTCATAAAGTTCTGAGAATTTTTTCAGAATTTTTTAATATCATATTTTCTTATGTTGGCAAAAATAAGAAAATGCAGTACTAAAAAGTTGATAAAAAATTCTGAAAAAATTTTTAGATTTCTATGAGAAGAAAATAAATAATTTTTGTCTCTTGCAGTTTTTCTATAAAGTTAATAGTACTTGAGCAAAAAATTATTCAAGACCAATATTTGGCAATTTTTAATAATTAATATCTCGTTAACTATTGCGCAAAATGCAAAATGGTAGATGACTTTTCAGTTCGATTCACTCTACCTGCTCATGATGGGTGACGAAATATGTTAAAATCAGCCTGTATATAGGAAAAAAATTATTTCAACGCTATGTATCAATAATTTACATATAAATTAAAATATACGCAACATATTTCTATACATCTTCTATAGATTAGATTTCTGCATTAGATTTTCAAATCTGAATGACATATAAAACTAAAGAGTGCATGTAACGTGAAGTGTGCGTGTTTGCATGTAACATTGTAAAAACAGCTTGTAATATGTTTATGCACACAGATTTAAAATAATGTGGCCCAAATAAATTGAGATATAATGCACTATAAATTGCATGTGCATGTGCCTGTACACGTGTAGTATCGCTCTTGCAAAAATATCATTATCTAAACATACAACAACATGCAAGAAGCGGCCATGTAAAATTGAGACTGCAACAATACCCTGTTGCTGCCGCGGGACGATGTTACGTTGCTGTATATGTCTTTGTTGCATTTGCGGCTGTTTCGATTGTGGTGGCAAAGGTACCAACTGGGGATTCGATAAAGTGTGCGTTCCGTCCACGCCAGAACCTAGCGGTATGCAGCCGCGCGCGTCGTAAGCGTCATATTCACGTCCGTCGTAATTTGCGTCAAAAAACTTTTTGAACCACTGTAGAAACTCAAAGTTATCTTGAAAGCGCCCTTTTATCAGCTTGTCCACTGGTATTACCTGAACCATTTCCATGGTCGTATCATTATGATTTCATCCAGCCTCGCACAAAGTTATGCTATTACATGCGAGGCAATGCGATCTTCAAGTAACATCGCAGTTTATATCGCGGCGTTTATCACAACGGCTTACCTTTTATATATTTGTCTAAAATCATCTTTATGGATTTTAATCATTTTTGGATAAGTCTCTTGTTATATATCAGGTCTGTTTGCATTGCTTAAAATCCCCCAAAATTTTTGTATTCAAAATGAAATAAATATATGTTAAATGATGTTGAAGAGAGAAAAAGCGAAGACGCTAAGTACATAAAGATCAAGCAACGCGAACAGACCTATTTACTATTTTTAAAGCAATTTTGTCAGAGCTAGTGGAAAGAGAAAGCAGAAGTTCCTTACCTTATCCACATTCATCTTTTTGAAGCCACCTTGGAGAATTTTGAAATTCTGTATATACTCATGCTCCAGATTGGTCTTGAACTTGACCCTTTTCAAAGGTACACTGCCTGGGAAAAGCATGTCCATGAACTGACAATAGACTGCTCCAGTGCAGAGCTCTTCGATCTTGGTAAACGAAGATTGCAGACAGTCATTCACCCATGCCAGCATGTCGTGGCGACTAAGATTGTCCGATGTCATGTTTGTAGCGTACACGTTAACAGCCATGTTGCTCAGTTTGCTTTAACTGGAAGGCATAGAACAATAGATTAGGTGTTGAAATATTAGCATATTTTAACAATATCAAATGATGCAATAACAAGACACTAGCATAGCAACGAGTCATAATCGGCCTTAACTGGACTGATGTGCATTTTTACCAATGTAGATTAACTTTAATCTCGGTTTCACTAATTTTCTTATCTTTTCCTGTTTCTTAAGACTAAAAGAAGATAAAAAGTAAGTTAAACCGAGATTAAAGTTAATCTATACTGCGTAGAAATTAACGTAGGAACAGGTTATCACGATTATTATCAATCCCTAAAGAAAAGAGGAATGTTAAAATCGCGATTGCATTGCAATTCGGCGCGTTCGATATAAATAAAGTCAACGGACGGGATCTCGAATAATACGAGCGACGACCGAACTCTAGGAGATCCCGAGACGGACGGCATTCCATTCGCTTTTTTTGCTACGAAATTGTCGCGGTCGACATATTCGGCATTCTTTATTCTTGCGACTTCGATGCATGCGACCGCCGCTTGGGTGACCTCGTGCGACCTGCCATCGCCGTCGCCTGCTCGTTAATCCATCTCCTTCGGTCGCGTACCTCGCAAGGGCGCAGTCCGCCCTGAATTCCATGCACAACTTACCGAGGATCGCGAAAACACGGGTAACACCGCACACGGGAGTGGTTCACGGCACGCAGATGACAAATGTGCACTAGATCGTTCAAACACGCATACACAACGGAAACTCGTAACGGTTTCTTCGAGCGCGATTGGCTAGCGTGGCGGCACGGATCACCTGAGAAAATAGATAGCCAACTCCCGGAGCCTTCCGAAGCAGCTCGGAGCAGAGAGAAAGTTCGGAAAGCAACTGGGAAAAGCGGCGATATCACCAGAAAGCCCTGTTTCTCCGACTAGTGACTTATCAATACCCTTTCCAATATTTTTCCCTATGATGTAGTAGTTTCCCCACCCACGCATAAGAATAACCTCTAACCCTTGTCGACTTCTGTCAAATTTACTTTGGCTCTGTTTACTTGGATTTTTGCCGACAAGTAAGTGGTTCAGTTATCGACAATATGGTGTAATTTACGGGAATTTTCCGTAAGTTAAATCTTTTGTGTTCTCTGCTGTTTGAGACCGTTTATTAAAAATATAGCTAAGGTTACATTCCAAAACGTCCTCTCCGAGGAAGATTCTATTCTGTACACTGAAATTGTGTAAATATATGCTATCAGTGAACGATCACATTAGTGCAATTTAGTTTTTTTTAAAGAAATTTAATTGATTAACAAGGAGTGCTATTTAATTAATTGCATAAATAACAGAGATAAATTTTAAGGATAATAAAGATCAGAATAATTGACTCTTATATACATCTACTGACTCATCTGCCTATTTATATTTTGAAGCATTTAATCTATAATATGCTCTTTGCTTTCTGTTTCTTGCTTTTTTTCCTTCTTTGTGATTATTTTATTCAGATTATCATATGTTTCTTATCTCTTCCTTAAAGTTCTTCTTAAAAGTTCGTCAACTTTTATCTCAAGCAACAAAAAACAAAAAAAAATAGAATAAGAGGCAAGGTATAAAAGTCTAATCTACAATATTTAATCTTTCTCTTACTTTTTACTACCTTTTATTTTTTGTTTTTTTATTTATTATACTATTTCTTCATTTTCTGTTGCATGAGATAAACATAAAAGTTGACGAATTTTTGAAGAGACAAGAAATGTAACAAGAAAACAAATTGAAGTGTAAAAGGAAAAAAAAAGCAAGAAGTAAAAGGCAAGAAACAAGAAAAAGTACATTGTATACTTAGATAAGACTAAGAAATGATAAGCAAGAAATAGGAAGCAAAAAACTCTAATTATAGATTAATCTTTAATGGCGGTTTGTACAAGGGTTCATGCTTTTGTATTTCAGTTCTTGAGATGTCGTCTGTCAAGTTGCTAGAAGAGAGAATTGCTAATTTAGAGAAACAAGTATATGGACTTGGTAAGATGATGAATATCGATGATCCTGCACCGCCAAACGCTATTATCGATCGACTCACAGACGTCAATTCATTAATCAGCTCAGCATTATCAGGAAGAGAAAAACCAAATGCGCTTATCAAACGTTTGCCAGAATTAAATGGCTACTTGGAGCCTACTTGTGAAGATGTTGATATACCCACCAGTGCTAAAGCACAGCTGTTGTTGACAATGGAGCCAGAGATTATAGAGAACCACAAGCTGTTAAACAAAGTACAGGAACTCATGCCTGTATTAGAATCAGAACGTATCAAAGATGCACCCGAATTAAATAATACACTTAACAAACTGTCACTGTCATATCTCGAAGCTTACGAAGATTCCAAAGAGTTGGATGCTCATGTACATGATCTGCTGTCTAAATATAATGCAGTTATAAATAGTATATCAGAATCATTAATTATTTTAGATAATACAGTTATAGCTGCAGAAGTAGCAGCTAAGTCGAAGAAACAGACAGATGATTAACGAGATAATTGTTTGGTTTATTTAAATATCGATTAATTTATATGTTTTAATTAATACAAGTTAATATTGTTGCTTTGATTTTTTTATAATACAAAATCATTTTTATCATTTATCTTTTAACTTATTTATTATACAGAAGGATTTTAAAAGCGATTAGTCAGTGATGAAAGAAAATATCAGAATTGTTTAAAATACATTTATTTACCATTTTTACTCGAAATATATAAAAATACGCATTCATCAATGACTACGTATATGTGTAAACATACTTTGTTGTTTAATTTCTATAACAATGCATTTTATTAAAAAATAGTTATATATTATATACATTTATCCTATCTATTGCTTAATCGTATCCATTGTTCATTTCAGAAATCCTTATTTAGGATCTCTGAGACAAACTATTGATTCGTATGTAATCGGACATGCATATATATCGGTCTCTCGTATTAAATAATTAGATAGGTATATCTTATCAATTGTGTATATAAAATGTACTGAAAATATCCAAAATATATCACAAAAATTATTTTTTAATTCAAGTGGAACAATAATTTTATGTAAATAGTAATAAGTAGTAATTTTGAATACAAGAATGTAGAAAGTGTCTTTAAGAGACCCGTAAAACTAATAAATTCTTATACCACATTATCCATAATAAACAATTACTTTATACAATATTTACATAATGATTCCTTAATTATAAGTCGGTATAATTTTGTCTTTGATTTTTATTACAAGTAAGATTTTCATAATTCTCTAGAGTTTTTCACTCTCCCTGCGATCCCTCGTATAATAATAAAGGCCCTTAAGTTTTTCTCATGATAACTCATCGCTGTTGCGATGTTTGAGAATTATTAAAATACCTTTCGTGCTATCAATAGGAACATTAAAATTGGAAAAAGAGAAGACGCGAATGTAAATGAATATGGACTTTTTTAAGCACAAAGAAAATTAGGGAGATCTATTTGAATTTTTCTTCTGTAGTTTTATGTATATATAGAATCACGATCTTTTTCTTATTAAAACTATGTGATTCTCTTGTCTAACATGAAGTACCGGCTTCTTTATTTTCGATAAATTGTTATGACAATGATTTAGCTCTGCGTCTGCAAAGCTGGCACTGTTTCGCGCAACCACGGAAGCGCTGGTTCCAAGCTTGAGTAAATTGCTGGATGACTTCCCAAGCATTCTCTACGATGACTTAGTAATCCCTGGATTTCCCATCTTCCCGGAGCACCCTGCGATTCACTGGCACACATTAGTGGCGTTCCTTTGTCATTCTAAAAATACAAATTGATTTACCATTAATATGTAATTATAATTTCTCAACTTATTAAAATTACGTTTTTAATAATTTGTTAATATTGCATATATTTTTCAATTAATTTTTTAAGTTAAAGTTTTTGTATATTTATGATTTACGTGATACAATGATGCATATTTTATAATTACAATGAATTAATTGAATACGATTATTTGAGGAGATAAGGCAATATGTTAAGAATTACTTGAAAAAATTACAGATTAGTCTAAATTGTATTTAAAAGTAATATAAAAAATTAGAGACAATTATGACCATCTGGATCAAAAGTTACTTCAATAAAAAGATATTTTTAAAATCTGTTAAACTCTAATAGAAATATATAAAAATGTATTATAAAATAATGAAAATAATAAAAATCTCATTTTTTAAATATAAGCACTTTATGAATTCGAAAATATTTATGTAAAATTACATTGAGATGCAGACATTAATTATTCAGTAAATAAACAAAATATTTATTTGTTGTAAAAACTAATTGATACTCAATGAAACTTTATATAAGTCATTTTTAGTACTTAAAATATTTATATTAAAAAATTTAGATTTTTGTTATTATTTTTAAAATTTTTGTTTATAACAATAAAACTAATATCAAATAAAATAAATAATTTATAAAAATGTGTTGCTCAATAAAATAGAATGTTATGAACAACTTTCACGTAATTTGTTTAAAGCTTAAATATTAATATATGTGTTTTATGTTCTTAAAACCTACTTAAAGAGATGAGTATATTCGCAGAAGTTTCTTAAAAATTTTATTATTTTTTAAAAATAATTATAAAAATGTAAAAATTGAATTTTTTGTCAAACTTACGTAACAAGGATTTTTATCCATGCATATATCGTGCTTTGTGATGAATCCTGCATAATGGCTCGTGGCGTTACACTTATCGGAATTATTCAACGGAAGAGGCATGAATTTGAGATATTGTTGTAAATTCATTTCCCCGTTTTTAGGGAATGTCCATCCTACTGTTACGCAAATTTGCTCCGGCTGAAAAATCATCACATATATAGAGATCAGGAATGTGTTAATTAAACAATAATTAATTACACATAGCCTTATCAGAAAATTTAATTGAAAGTATACCTGGATAGGCTGTCTGGGAAGACATATGGCGCTAATGTTTCTGGAAAATACCAATGGCTCTCCTAATTCAATTAGAGCGATGTCGTTATTGTACAGGAACTGATTATATTTCACTCGAGGATAGGGGATGATATTTTTAACGGCGTTTCCTTTTAACATATTTCCATTGGTGAAAAGCTGCCATCCACTCTTTTCCTTGTGTCTATTAGATCAAGTGTAAAAAATTATGTATATTAACAATAATGTGTTATGTAAAAATATAAATATTATGTAAAAATAAAATATTCTATTTTATAAATCGAAATAAAATTATAAGATCCTTGGTGAAAAAATGTTTACGAAAAACTGCATGGATTGAGACAAGAAATTCGTAGTTTATTTTTATAGATAGTGGGACGTAGAGTAGCGTCATTTATTTGAAAAACTCAGAAATACTTCGTTTTCAAACAACGCCACTCTCATTATAGCTCTCATAAATATCTATAAAAAACTAATTATGAATTTTTAACTAAGATCTTATCTCAATCTATGCAGTTTTTCGTAAAAATTTTCTCGCTAGGGATCTTATAATTATATATATATATTTTCGGTTTATAAAATACTAACAATTATTTTTTTCCTCAACAATTACTTTTTTACTTAACAATTATTTTTTCCTCTTTTACAGATTTGAAATCCTTTTCCAGGATTAAAGATACGTATTAATACGTATCTGTGTAAAATTTATGCCGAGAACGACAAAAAATTTCGAAATTGAAAGGACTCCCGCTCTAATCTTATATGAAATTGAGTCCCGGTTCAGTAAT